TGAGCTTAATTTCAAAGCATACATAAATAATATTACCGTGGATCAATCATCACAATGATGTGGCATTGAATGGTCAAACCATTTTTGCTAATGTGGAGAAGGTGATTTGTCTTGAAGAAAAGTGATGATATGTCATTCTCTTGTGAAAGATAACCTAACTTTTATATATAGGATTATGACGCATAAATTTTAGATTAAAAACAAATAAATGTCTTATTTCTCTACTATGATATTTCTGGTTTAATGTATCATCCAATTAAGTTATTTAACAAATTTTTATATACCAAAATTATTTAACAAATCTCTAGAGATTTGTCGTACACTAATATTTACGGAATATTATCGTAACAATTAAAAAAAAAAAAAAAAGTATAAGTTGGCTAGAATTTCAGCTAGTTAATCAATGGAATAATATGAACAACTGCTTAAATACGAGTAGCTTCTAACTCAGTTTGGAGAGAGTTCTAAAACAGTACAGCCTCCAAATCATTTTACATGGGACTTTTTGTTTCCGCAGTGTGTTTCAACAAAAGAATGGAAAGAAAGATGAGAGTTCCAAGTGACTTGTCAGGCAAGGAATTTGCGTGAGAGTAGGAGCGTAGCGTAGAGAAGCTGGTTCCATGAGTCAGGTACTCCAGGTAGGCACCAATGGCTACAGTCTTGGAACATTCCTCGGACCTCAACAGGCTGTCTGTAAACCGAGGGGTGACCATCGGTTCGGTACCAAGTCATCTTTGTGATGTTCATGTAAAACACAGGCGTCTTCATTTCTGATATTACTGATTCCACCACTTTCATCATCCATGGGTACCCTCCTGTGTACATCTCGTTCTGTATCGGCCTCGTTTCTCCATTGCATTGCCCTCCCGCGTTCCACGCCCCTTTTCTGCCGTTCATAAAGAGATTGCTTGGGCTAAAGTAAATCTCTTTCATGCCCTAAATCCTATTTCTCCAGTGAAAGCCTAAAAGGAAGATATTCTTTACCTGAAATGGGAAGAAGAGTAACCAACGAAGAAGACTCTGGTTTTGGTGATGTTGATATTGGAATCAATCCAATCAGCCCATGTATTTAAAGCTTTGGTGTAAGCTTCTTTCACTTCTAATCTTTCGTAAACTCGATTTCCCTCTTGGTAATAACCTTTCCTGAAAAATCATAACCTGTGTTAAAAGAGTTATGAATCAAGCAATTTCGTAACAAAAGAAGAATGTTGTTCTTCATACCCTTCGTACGTTTTCTGGTGAGTCCACCAGTGACCTGTGTTGAATATCACAATGTCTGCGTTTCGATATAGCTTTGTGATCGATCTCTGGATCGTATCGAGCCTAAGCGTCTCCCTTCTCTTCCCGTTTCCATCTGAAACTTCTGATTCTTGAACGAGGAAAGGTGATTTGATGAAATCTATAGAGCAATTGAAGTCCTAACAAAAGATTTAAAATCCATCAACAAAACTTAAAATGATCCAAACCAATCACAAGTCTTTTCTTCGAGAGATCTGAGATACACTTACTTTGAATCTGAAACCGTAAAATCCTTCGTTCTGGAGATTATTCTGTCTTCCAGAAAACTTATACACTCTGTTCTTGTCGTCCAATGTTGATCTTAGTGAACAAACCAGAGACTCCCACATGTTTCGATTCAACGAATCACCAACAAAAACAAGTCTTTTCCCTCTCAGAATCTCCATCATCTCCTTCCCGTCGAATCTACAACAGACCCAGAAGAAGATTATCTTACGAAAAAACAGAGTCTCAATGCAATGGCAGAATCGTAATTAACTAGGGAGCAAAGATCTGACCTTGGAATTGAGCAACCGTGAGGTTGCCATCGATAACGTAGAAAATCCGAATCAGGCCTGCCATTTTTGAAGCAATTGAATTTGTCTTCAACGAAAGGACAAAATCCAGGAAGATAAATCGGCTCGGAGTTGTCAAAGACCCAACTTCCATCGAATATGTCGCAAGAACTAAGTTCTTTGCTCGCTGAATCAATCACCGACTCGTTCTTGACTCGGATTCTTCTCGGAGAAACGGAATAGAGCGTGTTTGTGTCTGAAGCAGTCGAAGTAGAAGAAGAAGAAGGGGAAGAGAAGAAGTTAGCCGCCGTGAGAAGACGAGAGGTGAAGCTCGAGACGATGAGTGAAGGAGAGAAATCTGAAAGAGACGAAGAGCAGAGGAGGAAGAGAGATAGAAAGAAAAAACAAGTTAGTAAAATCTGTGTCTTTGATGGGTGTTTCGTGATGAGAAAGAGATACTTCAGATCCGCCATTGAAATGTCTTCGAATCTTGTTCTTCTTCTCCTCTGTTTCTTTCGTCTCCTCTGTTTTCTGGGGAAAAAAAACACAATATGATCTGACTTATCTCTTTGGAGGGAAAAGGGAGATCCAACGGTTGGAAATTAAATCGTTTTTCTTTTCTTTTTTCTAAGTTCTCCGTATTTTACTTTATGTAAGATTGTGTTTTTTTTTTTTTTAAAACGTATAGTTGAGCCAAAAAGTATATATGATACTCCTTCCGTTTTAAAATGTAAGTTGTTTTACCTATTTTTTTATTTTAAAATATAAGTTGTTTTGACAATACTAGATAATATTGTGTGACCATTAGTATTTTGCAATTTTTTATGTTATTGGTCAAATTATTTTTATTAGATATATTAAATAATATTTTTTAGTAAAAAAATAATTTTTTAATATGCATGATTTTAAGTAAAACAACTTACATTTTAAAAAAGAGGGAGTATTAAACTTCTTTGTCCTTGATTTTTTACTTTCAACCGTAGATTTTTAAAATTACTCCAAATATTTTCACAAATTTTCTATATCACTTTCATAGCAAAAAAATAAAAGTATTTATCACATGGCAGCAATTTCTACAATTAAAGGGAAGCAACATATAGTATTATTTTCACAACATCAAATTTATACCGCCCAAATAAATATGCATTTAAAAAAGTGTTTTTTACTCTTTCCATATTAATTAGGTGATATTTTAACCCCAAAAAAATAGTAATAATTCTACATAAATATGAAAAAAACAAGAAATATTTGTTTTCTTTTTTCAACTATATGAATTTGAATCTAGATGACATATTGACGACACTATACCACAAAGTACAAACCATTAAGCTACAAGTCCTGCTCATTCTTTGACTTATATTTTGATAATTCATATAAAACAGAAGTATAGTAGATACAGAGAAAGTATACCTTAGAATTTGTTAAAAATAAAAAATAAAATGACATAACTGTTGTAAAACAAGATGTGATTATCCACTCCACTGCCACTTGTCTTTGAAAGATGGATCCTCATCACAGTTTACATGTCGCCATTTCCTTTCTCTTAAGTGATAATCTTCTTCTTATTCTCACTAGTATAAATAGTGATGTTAATGACATGAACCAATAAGGAGATCAATCCTCTTTCTCTCGTTTCTTGTACTATTTCGTTCTCTCATTTC